GTCACACCTGAATGCTCACATCCTGTTAATTATTGTTTGAAATTATAGAACATTGCTCAACGTCATGAAAATTAAACCTTATTTTCAATAAGCAATCCTGAAAAATATTTCGGGGTGCTTAACTTTTTTCCAGTTGTATAGTAACGTTTTTTATAAACACCAGTCTCTAGTGGATCATTTTTATATGGATACTTCTACTCAAAGACCAGTCACTATTGGACCCTTGCCTGCTGTTGAAGTAAGGTATGTGATAGACATATCACTGGTGTATATGATGTATTTACCTCAACTATACCATCAGTCTTTACAGGCCTGCCAGCTGCGAGTTTTTGTTTGTTTGTTTTTTTCCATTACAATGTGAAATGAACTAGTAATAGTGTTCACCTAAACTCTACTGAACAGACTTTGGCTGCAGGAAGAGGATTTGTAAGATAAAGATATATAAAAGGATGTGACCCACACTATGATCTAGTGTCATCCCAACCCCACTTCTCACCATAAAGAGACCTCTTGTTCTAGCCCCAGCAGTTAGGTACCAATTGATGCAGATTTTCCACGGTCCACCACCCCAGCAGCTGCTAACCGGTAAGTGGCAAGGGTCTCCAATGCTCCACTAAATGAGGAGAGACCTAAAGAATGTACCCAGATCCCCGTCGGTTCTTCAGTACAGAATAGTCTGTTACTGGAGACAGAGCCATGGGTGACCACAAAACCCTATTTTTAAATGACAGAAAAGTAGTCAGAGAAATGGGAAGATACACCACTCCATTGCTTTTTTCATGATAGTCCATGAATTGGGTACAGCCTGGATCAGATATGAAAAATAAAATTGATATAAATATAGAAATACCTCAAGTGGTCTCGTGGAATACCCCATCTCACAGTGGGAACTTGTAGAACCAGAGCAGATGGTATGAGCACATTCCATTATCCTGGCTCGATGTGAATTTTGGGTAAGTATACTTTACGAGGCAACACTAACCACCTAGTGGAATCCTAAAGTAATTGTGAGGTGAGAAAAATTCACCTATCCCTAAATAGAGGATGGATTGGAGAATAGCAACAGGTGGAAGTCTAAATCCCAGTGGAGATGAAATAGCCAGGTGGAGCAGATAGTGTGTAATGAAGATATGTGGAATGGTCCACATGCTAGCCTGGAGAATAACATCAAAAGTCAGTGAAAAACAGTAACTAGAAAATGTGGGAGGTGATAATCTGATGAGAAGACATGAAAGAGTCTTTGGTATACAGAAGAAGGGTGACAAGAATGAGACAAAAGGAAAGCTACATGATTGGAGGGTACAGTTCAAACAACAATAGACTGGACAAATCCTACACATAAAGATGAAAGGATGTCACTCCCCATTGAGCACTTTGACCTACCCTAATTAGATGCAAACATTTTAAATCAATCGTGATGGGGTTCCTGAAGGTAGCAATCAGAAAAAGATCATCCAAATACACTAGAATTAAAAAAACTGAAGTAGAAGGAATAAAATACTTTGCTCTTCTCACTGTAACCACTTTCATTGTTTTTCTACCAAGTGTATAATATCCTACATGTCATGAACATGTTGAAAAACATTCTTACAGTACAAATGAAGGTCAAGGTGGAATAGCCCTGAACAAAAGTAACCTTACTTTGGAAGTTCTGTTGCAGTTAAAAGAAAGAAAGAGAGACTAAACCCTAAAAGTTGCCATCTAAATATAGCAATCTCTGTACAACTAACTTTACTTGTTAGTTTTATAATTTCATCTGTGAATATTTAAACCTAGCTGTATTGATTCAAGTCTCCCTCCCATCTCCTTGTGTCAAAAAGGTGTTCACATGTTTCTGCCTAATTACCCAGGGATGGAGGAACATGAGGAGATAGTTAAAACTAAACTCCAATGCGTAATGATATCAGTTTTCCACCTTGAAAACTGTTCTGTTGTTAAAGAGTGATATGGGTAGACTCAGTGATAATGTAATCAGTTTGAAAAGTTCAAAACAAATGTATCTTTTGATTATCTTAATAATATTAAACATGGAAAAACTTGGATTCATGCACCAATGGACAGCACTGTGTAAGAATACTGACATTTCAAGTTAAGTACCAGATTAATCACACAGGCGTCAGGATTGATGGTTAACAACTGGAAACAAACAAAATTTCTCAGCATTCTTAACTCTTAAGACAGCGTCTTAGCTACAATAAAAACATTACCACAAAATTAATGGTACCTATATACCCAATGTTTATAAAAACATTACTATTTACTAAACACTTCTATGAACTTAAAAACAAAATTTCTCAGCATTCTTAACTCTGAAGACAGTGTCTTAGCTACAATAAAAACATTACCACAAAATTAATGGTACCTATATACCCAATGGTAGGGGAGGTGAGCACAAAAGGTAAGCCCCACCCTCATTACTTATATCAGATGTATAGCAACATGTTTGCAAGTACTCAGATAGCCTGTTTTTGCATCACATGGATTTTTTGCCACTTTTTATTCTCCTAAAGATTAAAGAGTATACTCTGGATGGTATTTGTTCTCCCATGAGTTTTTCCCTATGGAGCCTCTGCCATTGGGTGTCACATTCCATGAGCTTTTGGGCACTTACTGGGGGGTAGCTCATTTAGGTAATCTTTGCACTGATCTTGTCACCATCTCTGTGTGGGTTTCTAGCTATTCTTTGTAAGGAGGTGAATATTTGTTTCAACTCATCCTCCTCAATTTTCTGGTGTAGATTTCATCATTGCCTCCTCAAAGAATGAGGATACACAAACTTAAATATAAAGGAGGGGGGTCATTGTGCGTGGAGGTGTCTTGCACTCCTATTGGTAGAGGGTTCTGCTTCATGAATACATCATGATGTAGTGGAGCAAATTCACATGAGATTAGGTGGGAGTTTTCACAAGACCATGGCAAATTGCAAGGACTCAAGAAAAAAAGAAGCTATTCTGTGTGAGGAGGTATCTATAATAAACATTTTCAAGTAAGGAAAATGTTAACATTGTTCATTTCATTGACTAGACTAAGCAGGATGTTTTTTTAAGATGTAGGCTCAGGGTGATTAATGATAGCTGTAGAATAGAACCGGGATTTTGAGGAGACTTGCAAGTGAATGTGAACTTGGTGTTATTGCTGCAGACAATTAACAGTCACTTGTGGTGTGAAGTGGGTTATGTCAGTCCACATAGCTGGTTATCAACTATGTGGTAATTTTCTTACATTTTTCCTAAAATTAAATGTTTGTGTGTAGAATTGGTTGATAATTGTTTCATCCAATGTTCAAAATCTAGTTGTGAGATAAGACCCTGCCAGTGTAAAGTGAAAGTATTTTGAAAAATCACAATATTGAGTGAACTACTTGAATGTGGCAACTACAAGAGTTGTTTACTAAGGTACAGTATGTACAACCATTAAAAGTATTGAGTGAACTACTTGAATGTGACAACTACAAGAGTTGTTTACTAAGGTACAGTATATACAACCATTAAAAGTATTGAGTGAACTACTTGAATGTGACAACTACAAGAGTTGTTTACTAAGGTACAGTATGTACAACCATAAAAGTATTGAGTGAACTACTTGAATGTGACAACTACAAGAGTTGTTTACTAAGGTAC